TTGCTTGCGGCCTGAAAGAGCTCAAGGCGGAAAGTTTTTAAAGATCTGTATGTACACTCAACATATACGTACATTATGTGCCCAAAAAATCCATTATACGTGACGACTGCTAGCGTGCAATATAAGGGTTTGTTTGCTTGGGAGTTCGTCATTTTCTCAGAAAATTACTCGCGGCGGGTGACGCGAGTTTTGTGGAAATAACTTTCAGGTCCTGTTATTTTTAAAAAGACAACCAAGGTCCTTATATTTTGTTGTAATGACTGAGAGGGGACATTTCATCTAATACCTCATCCGTAAGTGTTAATAAATGAATTTTTTTCCTATTTTTCCAATACTTTTTTTTCCTATTTTGCCATTACCTTGTTTTTTCTTTTTTTAAATTTTTTTTCATTTGTTTTAATATAATACAAACAATTTTGAATTTTTATATGATTTTATAAAAGAAATTCTAAAATAACACTTTAAAAAAATAGTAACAAAATTAAAGAAAAACAAAGAAATAAAAAAAGGAGCGACCTAAGATTTATTACCTTAAAACATTTAGAAAAGAATAGAAAAAAATACATTTATTAACGTTTATAGATGAAATGTCCCCTTCCAGTCATTACAACAAAATGTAAGGAACTCTGCTGTCTTTTTGAAAATAGAGGGACCTGAGAGTTATTTCAACAAAACTCGCGTTACCCGTGAGTAATTTTCTGTCATTTTCCTTAGTTTGTTCTCTTTATTGAAGAAAATAGATGAAAGAGTCCTTCCACAAAAATTACTCCCTCCGTCCCACTTTAGATTACAATATTCTCTTTTTGTTGAAATTAAGGAAGAGTCAAATCAAATTTTTTTTCCCCAAATTACCCCCAAATCCCCCAAGTATCCTTCCCACTCACATGGATGAATAGTGTGTGAATAGTATAAGAGTGGGAGGGTAAAAGAGTCAATTCCTTGTAAAGTTATTGACTTTGTAATTCTTTTTGGAACAAAAAATGAGGGAATATTGTAATCTATTTCGGGACGGAGGGAGTAATATCTTTCTTTTAAGTTTTAATGGTTATATTACAAGTAGTATATGTTTATATTATTCTCAATCTAATGACGTACAAAAAATAAATATTTCTGCTTCCACTAGGAGTCAAAGCTCGATGAATTTTCCCGTGAATCCTGAGGGAGTGGACTTGCTACCACTCAAGCCAAAGGAAAAGTTCACAAAAATCTAATTTCTTTTATTAATAACTGAGTAAATTCTAAAATTATCCTTTTATAACATGGTATTTTCCATAGGCCATTTGTAATTTGACACCAGTTGAGAAATGATGTTTGAACCGTGAAATCTAGCATTAATTATGACAAGAAAAATATATGATCATTATGAAATTATATTTTTAATCATCAATTTGACATTCACATGACATAATGTCACAAAAAAGACTATCCATGAAGAGGTATCGATAAAAGAAGAACCACATGTGCAATATTTAATGGTAGATGACTAAATATGAAAACTTTCATATTACTCCGTATGTCCCAGTGTATTTGTCCAGTTTGACTTTTTTGAGTCAAGCTGGACAAACTTTGAACTTCAATTAAATAAAAATCGTAATGTATTTTAACATAAAAATGACTTTATTGGATTTATCGTATTGAAAACTTTTAAAATTGTATTTCATTATGCTAATATGCAATATAAAATGAAAATAATTGAAGTTCAAAGTTTGTCCAGTTTAACTCAAAAAAGTCAAACTGGACAAATGTCATACATATAACCAAAGAAGTTAGTGGATCAAAGTTTAACCGAGAGACCAGGTCAATGGTCCAATCAACATATATAGAGTAATGTAGTTGTTAATGGCTTCCACATTGTTTAGAAATAGTTTTTTCATTACCATTAGCATTTTAGATAAAATTTTAATGGTATAGATTAATAATGAAAATGTCAATGCTAATCTCCAAAGTCAAAATTACCTTGGTGTGCAATAGAAGAGGGTGGGGGCTATGTTCGGGTCGAGGCAGGGTGAGGTTTTATCAAGCAATACTAACCATCAATTTTACGAATGAAGTACCTTAGTGACCCCAGATCATCCCCAACATATTTTATGGTGTATTTAACAAGTGGTGTACTCAGTATTTAGGGTTCATACATTTGTTAGGGCTTGCTTTTTTAAATAAATATTGTGATGGACTTCATACAACTTTTTATCGACGTATCGAATGAAAGTGGATGGTTTGGTAATTTTGGAAAAATGATAAGATATGAGTTATGAAATCTGAAAGAAATGATATAAGGTTTGAAATCTAAAACGAATTTGTTTGAAGATATTCAAAATCATGATTTAACTAGTGATAAGCGGGGGTGACCGGCAACGGGGACTTTTGGCCTGTAACAATTAGGGGTGTACACCGGTCCAGAACTGGACCGGACCGGACAGGAACCGGAAAAATTGGAAACCCGGAATCTCCTAAAGCATAGGACCGGAAACCGGTCCGGTTAGATTTCGGTCCGGACCGGTTTTTTCCGGTCCGGTCCGGGTAAAAACCGGAAAACCCGGAATTTATTTTTTCTAATTCTTTTTGTCTATTTTTTAAACTATTTTTTTCAAATTTGTAGCTTGATTTGGATTGATTTCAACCATACATTTAATTTTTATATCCATTGGGTGTGTTTCAAGAAATTATATTAATATAAAATATAAAATATTTTTATCAACAATATAATAGGTGTATAATGATTTTTATACTTCGGTTAGTTTTGAAATTTCAAAAATATTATAAAGTTGTACTTTAAATTATTTTGGTTTTAGCAAGTCTAATTTATATGTCAAAGTATTTAATTCCTTAGATCGAAAGATTCTACTTCAATTTTTGGAAAATAATTTTAGTTTTTTATAGTTATGGATATTCTTGAGTAAATGTTTATGAAATGGATTATAAAATACAAATTACATTTAAAAAAGTATACTTCATATTAAAGTAAGAAGAACCAATGAAAATATACAATTGTATTTATAATTATATGTAAACTCCGTATTATAACTATTAAATTCTTTTAAAAAAATAGACAATCCAGTCTTACCGGTCCGACCCGGAAACGATCCGGTCTTGGACCGGAATTTTACCAGTCCAAAATGTTTAGACTGGAATCCGGTCCGGAATTTTACCGGTCTAGCCCGGAACCGGTTTTTCCGGTCCGGTCCGGTTTTCCGGTCCAACCCGGATTTTGTACACCCCTAGTAACAATAGTAGCCCGTAACGAAAAATGATTAATGATTAAGAAAAAAAATCAAACTCTCATATGAATATCTCTCAAATTCGAGATACCAAAACCTTTCATTTAAAAGATTTATACTACCTTCGTCCCATTTTATAACGTCTGTTTCGGTTTATGATGTTTGACTGAAATTATTTTCAAATCATTTTGTATGACAAATGGTATAGAATTAAAAAATAAAAATTACATTTTAAAACACTACCTCAAAACATCTACAAAACTAGTAATGACAATAATATTTTATTTTATCAAATTTAGAGCTGGCAAATCGATCGGTCAGGTCGGGTTTGGGTTTGGTCACTTCGAGTTCGGGTTATTTCGGGTTCGGGTCAATTCGTGTTCGGGTTGAGAATTGTATGTTCATGACCCAGTGTCACCGGGTTCGGGTCAACCCAACGGGTTATGACTTTGGTTTTTAAAATTTTTAAATTAACATTAACACTTATATTTTCTATTAAATAAATTTAAAATATCAAAATAAATGTATTAAATATATTAGATTATTTTATTTTAAATTCTGAAGTAATTTTTAGATATATAAATCAATATAAGGAATTTAAAAAATGCTTAAGATTTGAAAAAAAGTAAGATAGATAATTATGCAATATCATTAGAATTTTGTCTGAAAATATAAATTTATATATACTAAAAATGAGTAGTAAAGTGTGTGATTTTAAAAAATTCTTACTTTTGCGGGTCGGTCAGGTCGGTTTCGGGTTCGGTTGGGTTTGACCCATTTTTAGCGGGTCATTTCGGGTTCGGTCAACTTCGAGTTCGGTCATCAAAACCTTTGTTCAAAACCCAGTATTTTCAGGTCGGGTTTCGGGTCAAAAACAGGTCGAGTCATATTTTGCCAGGTCTAATCAAATTGCTAACGAAAATAGAGAAAGAAAGTGAATGAAGTTTGGACCTGTAAATAGTAAACAAGCATTATAATTTGGGACGGAAGGAGTAATATATAGAGATATCAAATTCAATATTTTTTTTGCTTTACCGAACACCCAAAAAAAATTTGATACCTAGAGATATCAAAATACATATTTTATTTGCTCACCAAACAAACCCTTAATTCTTACGGAGTACTACAGTGATCAAAATATTTTTGTAGAAAAAAACTTTTGATGTGAAGAACTGAAGTTCACAAAAAGCAATACCCACCAAAGAAACACTCATATTTTTATGTTTGTTTTATTTTCAATTTTTTTTTTCTACTTTTTTCCCTTATTTCAAACATATTTTTTCTAACCTTTCATTGGGATTTGCCTATTTTATATAGTTCAAAAACAAGTTTTCAAAGGTATTTTGAATAAAAATTTAATGATATAAAATAACTTCAAAAAATTAAAAAAAAACTAAACATTAATATTAGATAACTTTTTGAAAATGCTGACCCTAACTTCTAACTTTATCAAACAAGTCATCTTTATCGTATGCCATGCATAAACCTCACATATGATGCTCAACAACAGTTGGTTGCAATAGTCAGCACCAATTCTCAACAATTAGAGTAATAAGTGGTCGGATTTGACCATCGACAGACTGGAAGACTGAGGCAGCGGGCAACGACTGTGATTGGCAGAGGTTGCCAACAATAAAGGCGGTCCTCAACCAAGGCAATTTTTGCCACCTAGTAGTGACAACTATGGTCAATGGTAGTGTCCATTGACACCCAACGGTACCAAAGGTCAGCAACACCATTACTAGTGGTAGGTTTTTCATAACCAAGATTCAACAATTATAGAAACCAACCAAACATTTGGGGAGATGACAAAACACAACTAGACAAGATGTTGGTCATCCAAAAGAGAATGAAGGCTTCCCTTCAATAACATGCCTGTTTTTCTTGTATGAAAAAAAAAATCATCAAAAAAGTAAATCCAAGATAGTAGAAGATAATGGTGGGAGGCAGGAATGCATTTTAAAAAGCTACTGAAAGGGCACATCAGTCCCCACAACAAAGAATTGTTCAGAGACATGCACCACTAAGCCCAAAAGGAGGAAAGTAGTGGCCTTAGCTATTATATTACATTCTCTAACTCAGAAGGGGAAAAAACCAGTGGCCTCACCCTGTGTATCCCTGCATGACAATAAATGACTCTGTTAAAAATGCAAATAAAAAGATATATGGAGTAATGGATAACTCTATGGTCACACCAAATCTTGACATCATGTGTTGCCCAGACATGCACTGACAATGAGTTGAATTGCAATCTCTACTTAAATGGCTACTATCTCTGGTTTCGTGGAGCATTTGGTTTAAGTAATCTCACATTACATACGAAATGGGACAAGTAATTTCAGGTTTTCAAATGACCCTCTAGTAGTCTGTTTTACGTATTTACCTTCAAGAAGGAATATAATGTAATGCTGGGAGTATGAAGATTACATTGGGTTTCTTCAGCATTTGACATAAGTACAATATTTTGTACTCCCTTCGTCCCGAGTAAGGTTCCCGTTTCAGTTTTACTTGAATGAAGTTATTTTCAAATTTCAATTCAACATATTTGATATTGGTGTAGAATTAAAAGATAAAATTACATCAAAAGTTTTGCAAAATGTGTAAAGACAGAAAGATATAGTTTGACCTTGTGAATAGTGAAAGAAAATTTTATTGTGGGAAAAAATGAGTACTAACATTTTTACGACACAAGTACTTCTATGAGCATTACATTTTGTACAGTTTGAAATAGGAGTCTATTTGTGTAATCTCGCATAGCCTTCTAAGGTAATCTCAGGTTCCATGAACCAAACACCTTATGGCAGACTTTGTCCACAACCCCATTTATAGCACTGTAGGATGGGAAATTTTTAAACATAAGAAAAAAACAATAATGATTTTCTGAATTCCAATCCTACCCACTTCATTTTAAGGTATAAATATTGTACATGCCCCCCGCCCCAAAAGGCACATGCCTATCAGACGCGTGTTTAAAGTGAGTCTTGGTGATGGGATTAGGGTACCACATGTTTTAGATTAGAGAAAAGTACACATGCATCAAAAAAATTCTGAAAACACAGTAAGGTAATCATTCAGTAATACCTGAGGCTGCTGCTGGTGCTGTGGGGGTGGTGGATAATTACCATACCCTCCTCCATAGTACATATTTGGATCCTGGGTAGCAGCACCACCACCATGGGGGTACCCATAGGATTCATATCCAGGAGTGTATCCAGAGTATCCACTGTTCCATTGGTTCTGTTCAGCCTGCGGCTGGTGAACACAAAAAAAGACCATATATTTCTCAAGCTAATATCAAAACCAGATGTTCTAAATACATATATTCTGGGATAAATCATGTTTTATTACAGTACAAACTATAAAATAACCTGTCTGCTTGAAGGACTACGGCCCCATGAAAGACGAATGCTCTGTCCTCCCAACTGGGTTCCATTTAAGTTCTGCAGGGCTTCCTCGGCGCTATTCCTGTGGTTCACACAAAATTTAACCATTGCCAAATTTAGATCTTCACAAATTTACAAACGAGACCATTGTTGTTACGTCGACAAGTCCAGTCAAGTCACCCCGCGAACGGACTAGTCAATTAGTAGTCGATTAGTCAATTAGTGTAAAGCCCTTACCTAACACAAAGTTTAGTTGCAGAAATATTATACTCCATAATAAATATTAATGGGTATTAAAACAAAATTTTGTTGGAAAATAGAGAATAAAAGAAAACAAAAATAGGTAAAACAAATCCCGTTATTTAGAGTAATAAAAACAAAAATAAATCCAAACAGACCCATCCTTGGCCTATGCCTCACCTCCACCGCTCAACCTCACCCCAATCGGGTAAAACAAAAGAGATAAAGAAAAGAAAATATACATGGGAAGTTGAAAGGAACTAATCAAAACTACGAACGACTAATGCTTACTAAACAGGACACCGGCGGCAACAAACTGTGGCAGAAGATCTACTTCCCTTTGGCAGCAGAGGCAACGAATCTCCGTCGTGATGGTGACGTTAGGCTGGGATTTTCGCATCTGAAATTGGGCGGCCATAGATTAGGGGTTTTGAATCTCAGATCTGTAGGAGTGATCTGTTTTTTACTACAATGCTAGTCGCCACCGCCGGTCGTCCCTTCCCCGTGACCCAACCCTTTACTCAACGACTACTTGACGACGTAACAACCATTGAACAAAGATTGTTGCAGCACCTGTCAGCAAATTGAACAAAACCACAACGCTTGCCTGCCGGTATTTTTACGTTAAGCACCTGCCCGTAGTTTGAAAATACCTGCCTAAGAGCATCATCTGTAACATTGGTGTCCAAATTCCCGACAAATAACTGCAACAAAAGCAGATTTCTTTTGTTAGCATCTGTTAGCATGCCTTTTGAGTCTTTTACCATGACTAGATATACTGACAGTTGTGTTAGTCAAGTCATCATCACTTTGAGTCTCTTGGCCATTTTGACAAGTACCTGCAAATGAAAGGCAGAAAAGGAAAGAGCTGATAAACAATCAGACTAACATACTGATAGTAGTGGATTCTATGCAATTGGATATTTTTTGGTTCTTTTTTATTAAAATAAAAAAACAAACTCAAGACAAATTCAAGGTTCAATAGTCACGGAAAAAGTGTGAGTAGCATTCATAATATTGGAAAAATGAAGGAAAAATCAATCACATATATACAGAATATGGGAGAAATAACTTTTTTTCACCATTCATTAACTTCAGTTTGACGCCATTTTTGTCATAAGATGTGATGAGGTTTTCATGCTGGCTATTGACATGGCATGCCTACCACAACCCTCCTCCTTTGCTTGAGCAGGGGGGCAGCTGAAATGTGCGTGTTAAGATGGATGAATGGGCACACTAGAATGGACAACATAAGAAATGAGATCCTCCATTAGGTGAAAGTGGGATCCATTGAAGATAAATTGCGAGAGAACCAGACAACGGTGGTTTGGACACATACAAAGAAGACCACAAAATGCATTGGTTATAAGATATGAGTGGATATATGGATTGTGCAAAAGAGTATGGAGGAGACCCAAAAAGGCGTGGAAGATTTTTTGGAGTGATTTGTCTTGGAAAATTTTGAAGATAAGAGGAAGAGCCTTGGGAGCAGATAAGATTCCGGTATAGTTTTAGAAATTTGTGGGCAGAGATGGGTTGAAGTGGGTCACCAACTTTAAAGTTTTTCTCAAAATGGCTAAGATGACTAAGAGCATGGCCATCCCATTGTATAAGGGTAATTGGGCAAAGGTGATATACAGAGTTGTGATAACTATAAGAGGCATCGAATTGCTTAGTCACACAATGAGAGAATCACTTATTTAGACAAGGTTGATCAAAGAGGTGAGCATCCCCCAGACTCAACTAGTTTCACGCCTGGCCGGTCAACTACTGACATTCTTCTCCGGAGGATACTGATGGAGCAGAATTAGGACAAGAAGATGGACCTATCCAGTATAGGGACAAATAAAACTTCTTTAACAGAAAACATGTGTGGGAAAATGAAGTCAAAGTCTGATAGAACAAACACAGCTCAATTGACATTAGGTGGAACAACAGAGTTCTCCAGCTGTCATATTCATTAGAAAATTCATCATATGGCATTAAAAACAAATCTAAAAAATCATGGTATAAGGTTGTAGCATACTTAGTGACTGAGTGCTACCTTGTGGCTGGGTGCCCAGATTCTTTTTATTAGCAGCTACCCCAATCCGCATTGGTCTGCTTGAGCAATACATTCCATTCATCTCAATCATAGCACGCTGCTGCTCACTTTGATCGCCAAATTTCACAAACCCATAGCCTTTGGTGCATCCAGTGGCCCTATCTGTAACAACCTTTGCACTCTTCACTGAAGGGTAGTTGACTTTGAATGTCTCTTGAAGCACGTAATCTGTGACATCAGCAGCCAAATCTCCAACAAAAATAGTGTGCTCGGGAGAATTATCAAAACGCTTTTCTCCTGAACCTGGAGAAGCCCAGTTAAGTTTGAAGTTCTGCTGAGCATTGGGCATTGGGGTGCCATTAAAAGCATGAAGATTCTTTTCAGCAGCTGCTTGACTGGTAAATTCAATAAAGCCATACCCCTCGTGTCGTGAAGTTAGCTTGTTACGGATAACTTTAACAGAGGTAACCTGCAATTAGGGAATGAACTAACAACATATCCAACCAAAAGGTTTAGAATGATTTTCGGTTTCCAGCCAATAAAAATGTATTATAAGCTTCATTCGTCAACAGTCACGAGCATGCGCTATAGACAAATCCTAAAATCATAATATTTCCCAATTACATATACACTCAAACCTAATCTGTTTGTGGGAACAACAACACAAAAAAACTAGTAAATGACCAATCAAAAAGAGAGGAACCGCGCAGTTGTGTGTAGATCGCATACCTCCCCAGTAGCGTAAAAGCATCTGGTGAGGTAATCCTCATCCATCCAGCCCTGCAGATCCCCAACCCAGAGGCTGCGGATCTCATCCGAGACGGCCGGTTGAGCAGCGGCAGAGTCGTTGTACTGCGGTGGCTGTTGATTCTGCAGAGAGGGTGGAGGAACGATGCCCTGCGGCTGCGTCTGCTGGTAATAATAAGGAGATTGTTGTTGCTGCTGCTGTGGAGGGGCCTGGTAGGGCGGCTGCTGCGGTGGTGGTTGCTGTCCCATCCACTGGTGCGGCGGTTGATGATACTGCTGGTACTGCTGTTGATGATACTGCTGGTACTGCTGTTGCGGGGCCATTGACGGCGGGACCCCTGAGAATGAATGCTGCATCGCGGTCTGATTCGCACTGGAGTCCCTGAGGGGTTGGGAATTGATGGAGGAGGTTGCGTCGCACGGCGGAACCCTAGATTGATATGCGACTATACGTTTGTCTTGTTGATGACAGATAGACCGCTCTAGATATTTTGAAGTGAGGCCGTGTATATAATACGGACTACGGAGTAGTACTCATATACACATTAATCCTAAAAAGGAAATGTAATTTAACCTCTTTTGTAAAGATGGTATAGTGTCCGAATTAAACTATGGCTTCGTTTGGCATTAGCGTTAGAGGTTAGTGTTATCGTTTTGAAAAAACTATCTGACGATAATTCTTAGTGTGAGCTCTTTCGAAATTAATATACACCATTAAAATTTTATCTAAAATGCTAACGGTAATTGAAAACGTTCTTCCCAAACAATGTCTATGTCTACTCCAAAATTATACCACACTCAGTCCGAGAAAGGGGTTTGTCGGCACACGGCCGGTGGAGTACATCCACAAGCTCCTTAGCTCAGGAAAAAGGAGGTCATGGTAGCAGCCCTACACTAAACCCGAAGGGCCCCATGGGGAGGTTGCGCCCAAAGTCATCGACAGTGAAAATCGAACCAGAGCTTCGGAACTCATTCTCTTTCCAGTTTTGTGCATGTGTGAATTGTTAAAATGCTAGTGCATTCATATAAGATATGTACTAAATTTTCTAAAGCTATTATTCAAATTTATCATAAAAGATATTTACACAAGCCTACAGCGAGCGACATTCAGCAGTTACACGCAAGGCATGCCGCTAAACACGGCTTTGTCGGCATGCTTGGGAGTATTGATTGCACGCATTGGGAATGGAAAAATTGTCCCACTACGTGGCACAGTCAATTCTCCCGGGGAGATCATCCCAAGCGTACTATCATGCTCAAAGATGTTGCTTCAAATAACTTGTGGATTTGGCATGCTTTTTTCGGTGTCGCGGGCTCGAACAACGACATCAACGTTCTCGATCAATCACCTGTTTTTGACGATTGGATTAATGAGACCGCATCCCACTCGTCTTTTGAGCTTAGAGGGACGCTTTACCAGCGTGAATATTATTTGGCTGATGGAATATATCCAGATTATTCCACGATTGTCAAATCCCTCTCCGAACCAATGGGTCTTAAACGCCAGACCTACAAAAAAGTTCAAGAGGCGGCGAGAAAAGATATTGAACGAGTCTTTGGGGTCTTGAAGGGTAAATGACACATTCTAGATCGACCGTCGAAATGTTAATCTCAAACGAAAATGAGGAATATCATGTACGCATGTATTATTCTTCATAATATGATCATAGAAGACAACTGGACTACTGATGGGTGTATTCCACCCACGACCGGTCAAAGAAGAAGGCCAAATAGTTGACCGGTCAATCTTGAGAGTTTTGGAAGCGAGACTTAAATCGTCAGCAAAACGACATATCGTCGGCCAAAATATGACCGGTATACTTCACAAAAAGTATACCGGTCAAACTACGCTGTCGTCCTATTTATTCCAGACTTCGATAAATTCATCCCTCGGAGATTACCCGGTGTAGTTTCTGGGGTTGGAAAGTGTCGGCAGGAGAGGATCTGCGAGATGCTGAAGAATCCATCCAAGGCACTACTTGACAAAGGGAATGATCCCCTTCACAAGGCGACAAGGCAGCTTGAGGACGAAACCAGTCACCTCGCACCACATCGGCAGCATGCCCCCACGTGGGCGCACGTGGTCCTGTCCCCTTAGCCTAGTATAAATACTCATGTAAACCTCATAAAGAGGGATCCGAATTCACTCTCTCTAAACTCCCTTGTAAAAGCACCCGTGCATTCTCCGTTATAATATAAATTGGGCTACAGGTGTTCCACCTAAAGTCCTACCGGTCAATCTGCGTGTTTTTACCTTTCTTACTTTGCCAAATCAAGCAAACTATTCTAGACCCGGTCTAGTATAGTTTGACCGGTCAAGTAATTTACACCATCATTTTTGGCGCCA